TTTGTATTAAATGTTTTGAGTGATTAAAAGCTTAATTGGACACAATGGAAGAGTAGAAAAGATGGTTTTGTACACTTTTTTTTTTTTTTTTTTTTATCAAACGCTGAGTTTCACTCAACACTCTGAATTAAAACAATTCTGCAAACACTGAGCTAAAATTCCTCCACAGTGATGTGAGAGACAGATGTGCCAGTTATCATAAACTTTTGATTGCAGTTCTTGTTGCCACAGCCTGTTATTATGTTTAGGATAGAGTTAATTTTTCACTGCGGGAGAATCTTTCCCCCTAAAGTATTGAAATCATTATTTAAAAACTGCATGTTGTCGTTACTCTGGTTATCTTTGTCAAATATTAAAATGTGTTCTGAAACATTTAAGTGTGACTATGATCTGAATTTTTTTTTTTTTTTTTTTCCCCCTCACAGGGAACAGAAAGATCCGATCTATTTGCGAGACAAAGTGTCTCAAAAACATTCCAAGGAGCAGTTTGAAAGTGCACAGAAGATAGAACAAGAATACAGCAAATTCTTCACAGGTATGTATTCAGTCAAGTTATCTTAAAAAAAACAACAACCCACAAACAGAAAAAAAACGAAAAAAGCTTGGCTTTAATAAAGTGTTTTTGTCTTTTCAGGTATTGTCCAAGGCGGCACCCTCCCGTACATTTGCACTCAGATCATGACTATAGTTGATCAAGAACAAAGTAAAGTCCTGTGGACTCCACTCGGCTGCCCCTAGAGGAGACGAGCAGCTATTACAGCAAGCTTCGGCTTTCATCCCCATTCCCCGCACACTAATTAACCCTTTCACACTACACCATTAGGTACACTACATAGAGCTAGTTGTGTAAATTATTGCTATATTTTTTTATGTTGTCTTTTGTTATGATTCCTAATCAGAACCTCGTTTATTTTGTGATGTACTCGGGAGCAGGTTAGTAGCACTGGATATCAACATTAGAGTTCTTTCAGTCTTCCCTAAGGGTTTGTGGTGGTGTATTTGTGATGCTGCAATGTAAGCGTCCGTTTACAGTCAAAAGACGAGTCTGACTATTGGTGTTCAATATTTGCTTGAATGCGTGTGCCCCGCCCCCATGTACGCAAACCTCCTTACTAATGAAGTTCAGCCACCTCTGACCCGCCCGTGTACCAGATGACATTTGTGGTTTCCCTGAAATTATGCACCCATTTGATGATGACTGACAACTAATTGTATTGTTGTGTGTGTGTGTGTGTGTGTGTGTGTATGTGTGCGTGTGAGTTTGTGAGCGTGGAGAGGGGAAAAAAAAGCAACATTGAGACTGTTGTACACAATTGTAATGACAATTTCAAATGAGTTGAATCACATTGATACTATGCTATAGAAATGTAATGCCAGGATCAGACATCACATTCGCGTGGTGTTTCATCACAAAAAAGGAAAAAGAGAAGGAAAAAAAAGAAAAGAAGTATCAAACCTCTTGAAGTATGTAGCTGTGGTCTTACTGAGCCCATCTCAGCAGTGATGGCCATCAAAACTCTAAACACATTGATGTTTGCTCTATGCATTGTGTTTCTGTAGTAGCTGGGTGTGTGGACAGCTTACGGGCCTTTCGGAAGTGCCTTCGGAGAAAAGGCCTGATCTGAAACCAGCCCTTGATCACTTAGCCAGAAAGCTGAGGATTTTTTTTTCTTCTTTTCTTTCTTTCTTTTTTTTTCTCTGAGTTTCTAATCTGGATCCGATGTATCATTTCACCCGTGGTGGACTAGATGATTCAGAGGCTGATTTGAGACCAGTACTATGTAGAGCGCATGACAATGGCGAGGTTTGGAGGGTAGGTCGAAGCGGCGACCAACGGGTCAACTCCTCAGAATGCACTCCAGGGCTAGACAGACCACTGTGTAACTATCATTGTCTCTCTTTAACATATATTTAACAACACTATAGAGTATACCTTATACAGTATGCAGATACAGAAAAAAAAAACAAGCAAAAATATATATATAAATATATATATATATAAATATATAGTACATGTATTTTCACTAGGTCATATGCCTAGGAACGTCTGGCAGTCAAGTCACGTCTTAGCAGGTATTAGCATGTGTTTTTCTTTTTTAATGTTTCTTTTTAAAGACTTTTTTTCTCTCTGTGGTTGGTTGCCAGTCACTTACGTACTCATTCAGAGACACTATGAAGCAAAATTTGCAGGGTAATGTCTTATTGGAGTTTCCTCTGATCCGTTTAAATGTTACTGACTTTTCATTGTTATTTAATTATTATTATTTTTTGTTATTCAAGCAGCAAAAAATATTGACTACAGATATTCTGCCCTTCCAACAAACCATATCCTGTATCTTGTTGTGCCAAAATCCACTAAGTCAACTTTATCCTTTGATTTCTGTTTTGCACTTCTGTGAACCTTAAACATGTCACTGTTCTTAGGTTTCCAGCAGATTATGAATAGGTACTCTAATTTTTGTTGTGGCTAATTCATGTTTTTATGTATCACATCAGTTCCTTACATTTCATTGATGGCCTTTTTATTCGTAATTAGGGGGAAAGGATCACTTCTTATTTGAAATATTAAAAAGGGATCTACTCTTGCACAGTTTTTCGAACAAAACAAAAAGGTCCACGTGTTTGACCATTGGGCTAAAGGAGTAAACAGAAGCAAACTGTAATGTTACTATTTTTATGAGTAGGTAGCGTATGTTTAGAGAGCAGGACACAACGTGAAGTGGTTGTACTTGTAGAGAAAGAGTGTAGATGCCAGGTACTGATTGAATTTTTCTTTTATTAAAAAGAATGTGATTTGTATGTTAAGACATTAACATGAGAATAAAGCTCATTTTCTGTATCACAACATGGGCTCATTGAGTCTTTTTATTTTTATTTTTAAATGACTATTTATGTTTGGGAAGTATCAAAGAAAATATGTTGGTACAACATGTACGATTTTCAGCATGCTTCTTAGTCTCATCTTCATGTTTTGGATCATGATTTAAAGAAGAGCTGAGAGCAAATGCGCCACTAAAAGTGCAGCCGTGTCCTACAGAGATGTTTAAGGACATAATGGATCTCGTTTTACTGAAATTGGCAGATGAAATGGTTTCAGAGATGAGAAGAGGCAATTTGACATTATCTGCCTGGAACTTAAGAATACAATTCAGCGTCATTTCAGTGGCGTAAAAGCAGCAGTTTGAGCAGCATGAGACACAAGTCATGCAAATTGGTTTGATCCAGGTCATTTGTAAAGGCAGTTCCATTATATCCACCAATATTTTTTTTTTCTTCTAAATTTGAGAAACTGGTTGTTTATCAAATACGGAAACATGAGGCACTTAATACGACTACCTGATTAAAACGGTTCAGAGACCTTTAGAGCTACATCAGACTTCTAGGCTACTTTTTGACACAATCCAATGGGATTTGTGTCTCCCTGGGATCAAACTGCGGATCTTTTGGGAATGTGTAAATCACTACACGATGAATCAAACTGCTAAAAGTGATTTTTCTTAGATTACTACAGAGGTCTCACCTTTTTTTTGGACATAAATACTTAAAAAGCATTAAGTTTGAAAATGTGTTACATCATAATTTGGAGCGCTGATATTTGTATAGAATTGAACTTTATCACTGGGTATATTATGAACACCAGCTAGTATAAAATGATATTATTTATTGTAATTAGCATTGTGTTACACTGTTAAGCCCAGTGTTGCCATCTGATTGTGACTGACCCGTGTAATCTTGATGTTTATGCTGGCCAATCTGGCACTAAATTTTTTACAGTCTACCAGCATCTTTTCTTTCATGTTGGATTTTTAAAAAATCAATCAGATTTCCATTAAAGACACGTACCAAGACTTCACTATAATTTCTTTAACACAAACAAGATTTTTGCTAGGAAAACAAGGTGTTCCTTACAAAAATGAACAAATAGTCCAGATCTATATAAGATATGAGAATCATGTTTCATGCAGCTGGAATTCTGCAGCTACTGCAGTCTGATACCTCTGAGCTCTTCATCCGGGTTCATGTGGCCCTCTAACCAATAATATCACAGCGAGTGACCACCCTACAGCTGCCTGTTGGATTCATTGAGGCAAGAGAGCACCCAGTGTCTCAAAAACATCCAGCACTGATTCTGCATAATCAGTAATATAATTTCCCTAGGGATTAATAAAGTATTCTGATTCTGATATCAGGCCATGTGCTGTAGTTGTACAATGGTGAGAATAAACATGGCTTCAAACATGGCAGTGAAAATGCTCTCCGGAGAATGTTGTTCGAGATGTTGGCCTCAAATTACTCCCTAAATCTGATAGACTTTTATGTGCAGCTCTACTATGCGGTGCCCAAGATCTTTATGTCCTCCAAGTCTCCTCGTGCCTGTTTTAGAAAGGAGTATGGTCTCCAACCTTCCTGCTGGGGTGTCTGTTTCAAGACAGCTGTTGACAGCTCAACTGAACACGATAAGTCTGAAGTCTGACAGTGAAGGATCTTTGTAGTCCGCACTGGTGAGCCGTGGCCTTTCCAGGCTCACGTCACATCTCGTTGTTGGAGTGAGATGGCATGTTTTAGGCTCGGTGGGACGGATTTGTTTGATTGGCCGTCTTTTGGTTCTCTGGCATGTTGACTTCAGCATCTCCAAAATGTCCTGCAGATTACCACCTGACTGCTTTAATGCCAATCCCATCATCTGTCTGCCTCGTCATCCTTGAGTGAAAGTTCTGCTGGCCCACAGGAACCGTTCACCTAACAACTGGCCTTTCATTGGGAAAGACCAGTTGAAGCTCCCTCTAACAGTATAACCCTCAGCACTATTTATTATGGCACATGTGCTATGGGTGCTTTCTTTTTTTTCCATGAGATTTGCCAACCAGGTATTATAAGATGAGCTTTAATACATATTTTCATCTCAAGGCATTTGAAATCTTATTAAAAGTTATAATCATTTCACCAGTCTACCCTGAGTTCAAGCAACATTTTTGCTTCCTGGCAGTGCATCATGATGGCAGACCTAATGTGGGGCAGCATCATTTGCCTTTAGTGGGACAGTTCACTGTTTTACCAGGAGGAGGACGACTTCAGAGCTGCGGATTAAGGCCTGTACTTGAACAGTTATGTCCCAGGCTGAGGACTTGCTGATCAAATCTTGCTTGAATAAAGGTGTGCTTTAACATTTGTCCTGTCTGATTCTCACCAAACTTGGTGTAAATAAAGGAAGGAAATAGGAAATCACAAGATTAAGAAAAAACAACAACAACAACAACAAAACTTGGAGGTTGCTACTCTTTTTCTTTTACTCTTATTAAATATATGAACCAAAGGTGGGTAAAGTGTTGTTCTGCAAGGCGCTTCTGCAGACAGTCATAACTCTGCAGTGCTGTCATTTACAGACAGCTTTGTCTTCAGTGTTTTACACCAGTTTAACAGATTTGTAGCATTTACAGGTGCTTTTGTTTTTGAAACACTGATATTTCCAGTTTACCACACGTCTTCTTCACATGCATCGGCATGTTTACCTTTTCAAACAATCTGTGCTTGACATTAGGTCTGATACCACCAGGCTTCATGGGATTTGTATGGTGAAACTCATTCCCTAAAACGACTGGCTTAGAGCAACACTTGTTAATATTCCTTTCCCTGATCTTTGCTAATCCGGGCATTGCAATCATTGCAGTCCAGAAGAAACCTTTGGCTGAGCTGTCAGCTAAAGTTAAGTGTTATGAGAGACATTTTGATGGGACTTCATTGCAAACGATCTCTAAGAAGTCTGGAGCCTTGTGACACAGGTGGCTGTGTGCACCTGCCTGGTCTGCTGCTCATTAGAGGGGTCAGTGGTTATTCAGGGCCCTAAGCCAGCTGTTTCCACATATCCTTTGCTCTGGCTGGTTACTTGAGGGCAGCCATAAACTACTGCTAGTCATAGCTTGCCGTCATCACCAATCCACACCTGTTTTTGACCCAATATGTGAGCTAAAAGCCTAAGCATATTACAGTAATTGACCGGGAGGGGCATTTATCCTGTGGCCCAAGTTCAGTTTTTTTAAAAATTGGAACCATTCATAGATGAAAATCCACAGACTCAGTAATTGAAAAAGGAGCACTATCCTTAATGAACACTCAATAATATCCATACAGGCACGGAGTTGCTGTTTTATGCTGCCTTGTATAAGAACCCAGTGGGGATGGGGTGGGAGTGGTTATCGTTTTTTTTTTTTTTAATGTTAATCAGGATACTGAAGTTTGTGGCTGATCAACACAGTCCCTTTGTTAAAATCCCTGCTTGTTTTGCGACGTGCGTCACTGGCGTGCAATAAAGACGCAAAGGCGCAACTGTAGCCCACTTCTTCTTTATACGTCCGAGCAGCGGACTCCGGTCGGTACTTGGAATAAACGGTATTTCTGCCCTCTGTCCGTCTTTATTATTAGCGCTTCGCTCCGCCCTCCTACCTGTAAATCTCCCCGCTCTCCTCTGGAGCGGATCTGACAGGCGCTCTCAGCTGGCCGCTCCGTGCCAGGGCTGCAGGGGACCGAATGGAGACAGCGATAACCACCCGAGCGCCAGCCCTTTTACGCAGAATTGACAACGAAAACGCCCGCAAGAAAACAGTCTTGTTCTCTGCAGTGACAGCTACACACCTCTAGAATTAAATTAGATTCATGTGCACTTTCTCCCTAGCTTTTCCAACCTTTTTTTTTCTTTTCCAGTCCTCTCACATTCGATTGACGCTTCAAGAAAGTGAAATCGATTCTCCGCCTGTGAATCGACAGGATACCTGAATGGAAGACGGCTAGAGGTCGACTCGCCGAGATTGGGCTGCAACAATTTCCCCCGGCGCTGTGTTTACATTAACCGAAATATCAGTGGCAGCCTCGACGGCTGCAAACGATGCCGTCTCTGCCATGGCATATGGCGTGAAAGAGCCAGAGAACCCCCTCGGAAGGAGAAGCGCCTAAGATTCGTCATTATTGCGGATTTAAATGCCTCTCGCCAAAGGCCACCGACCCGCTGTTTTGGATAGGTTCGCGTGTGTCGTGTCTCTATCTGTCACGAACAAACAATTCACAGGCTTGTGAAAAACAGAAAGAGACTTTATCGGGTGGGTTAACATAATCTACAGCAAAGAGGGAGATTTTTTTTTATTTTTCCCAAGCAATATGGCTGGTGAGTGGGGCTGGGGACGCTGGCACAGGCTCTCCAAGGCTCCTAAATGCTAGCTGAGGCAGATGGCACGGTTCCCCATGGAAGCGACAGCTCTATGAGGACAAGCAATATCAATAATAACATAAATCCGGACTCTTCAATCTTAATATCGAGGATGGCAGACGTTGTCATCCCGTACTCGTCCGAGGTGCCCTGCGACAATAATGGCCAGCGCATGTGGTGGGCATTCCTCGCCTCCTCCATGGTGACGTTTTTTGGGGGTCTCTTCATCATTCTGCTATGGAGGACCCTCAAATATCTGTGGACTGTTTGCTGTCACTGCAACATTAAAAACAAGGTATGTCTGCTGGCCCATCAACAGTCTTTCTTTCTGAATTTGCTCGTACATAATCACTGATGCACATGCTATACACATCCTTGTGTATTTCTATGGCACTGACCTGACTTCTTGTTCTATAATGGCTTTCATAACGCAAGCTGCATTTCCCTTGGCTGAATCTGATGGTTTCCTTTTTATGTACATCTTCTGCACACCCCGGAGTGCTGTGCCGATTGAAGCGCCTTTAGAATAAATTCAGCATGATTGTTATTGTCCTTTGGCTGTTTACTACCTCCCACTCCTGAATGAAGGGGGGTGATGTTGCATGACAGCTATGGGTGGGATGAGAGGAGAGCAGTTCCTTCATTTTATTTAGCTTTAGCAAAACACAAAAGTATCCTCATGCCACTGCTAAGCTGCTAAGTTCTCAGGTGAAAGTGTGGATTTCACATGGCATGCACTAGTTTTATGTAACCACGCATATGATCCTGCATTCCTAATGAAGTCCACTGGGACTTCTCATGGACATTAAGATTGAGATAGTGTGCCCTCTTCAATTTTGGATCCTTCCCCCCCCTGCATTTATCCTCCTAAATGTTTACACTAGGTGTTTGTGCTGCACATCAAATATTTTCGTGGCATGATGAAGGTAACCTGTCTGCAGGACTAATATAGAAACGGTATAATAAGGGTGACTGCCCATTACTTTGCTGGGGGTAGATGAATCATGGCTGATTCACATTTGTATTAAAGGCAGCTTCATACGTGACTCACACACTTGTGTATAGTCCAAGTGGTCCCCTGAACAGAGGGGTGTTTTAAAAGTAATTCGCAGAGTGTGCAAAACACGGCTTGCAGTGTTTTATTTTACGATGCTTACTTGCCATGGGAAATATGTTAATATTAATCCAAAGAACAAATACAAGAAAGCAAGTGCAGTCATGCTGCCGATCTGTCTTCAGCGGTTTTATAGAATTTGGGGGGAAAGAGGATGTTTTTGCGTTGATGGACAGAAAGAACAGAGAGTGAGAGTGATATCCTTTGTCCTTGATATTCAAATGAATGACCCTTCTCACTCCCACTGCTCTGCTGTCATGTGTTTTTGGTGGACTTGACCCTTTCCTGCCTGTATCTTTTTCTTATAAGGACTGGTATAAAATGGGACATAAAGAGCTGCACCCATAAATTAAATTAATGTTTTAAAAAAAAAAAAAAAAAAAATAGAGCCAAATCACAATCACAATACTGTTAGGTTTCTATTTATTTGGAAGCAAATTCCAATAATCAAATGTCTGAGCCCTGAGCAAGGGCTTTACGGTGGTGGGAAGGAAGAACTCCCTTTTAACAGGAAGATCTCACTTGTGGAACCAGGCTCAGGAAGAGAAAAAAGAAAGTGTGTTTTACTCCTATCTGCTCTAAGGGAGAGAGAGGACAAAAATGTAATGATATGCGTCAGTGGTAAATAAATAAACGCTCAGTGTCTCACAGGTGTTGGAACCTATTATATCTATAGGATGTCTCAAATACAACTGATCCAGCCTTAAATATGTGCTTTATCAAAAAGGAAAGTTTTAATCCTAATCTTAAAAGGTGTCTGTCTCCCAAGTCCAAACTTGGAGCTGGTTCCGCAGAAGAGGGACCTGAAAGCTGACGGCTCTGCCTCCCGTTCTACTTTAGGAACCACAAGGAAGCCAGCAGTCTGAGAGCGGTGTGCTCCATTAGGATAATATACTGCTATGAGGTCTTTAAAATGTGATGGGGTCTGATTATTAAAAAATTTGTATGTGAAGAGAAGGAGTTTAAATTTGATTCTGCATTTAACAGGGAGCCAATGAAGAGAAGTCAATATGGGAAAAATATGCTCTCTTTGTAGTTGCTGTCAGTACTCTACAGTAACTACAGTGCTTTGGATTAACTGAAGGCTTTTCAGGCAACTTTTAGAATAATCTGATAATAGTGAATTACAGTAGTTTATCTTAGAAGTAACAAATGCATGAACTAGGTTTTCAGCATCACCTCAAGAGAGAATATTTCTAATTTTAGAGGTATTGCAAGGGTGAAAGGAAGCATTTTTAAATATTTGTTTAATGTGAACAAAAATGACTCAGATTCCTCACACTGTTACTGGAGGTTACTGCCATCCACGATACGTGAAACACCATGTTTCTAAGATGTTTAGTTCCTAATATAATAACCAGTTATGTCTGACTTGAGAAGACAATTGGAGCTCATCTAGATGTTTGTCTTTAAGACACACCTGTTGTTTAACAGGTGTTAAAACAACTGGCTTTATAGAGAAATAAATAAAGTAGTGTTTTATAATTTAAATAGTATTGGTCCCAGTACAGAACCCTGTGGAACTCCATGACTAACTTTTTGTTTTTTTTACATAAACAAATTGGAGTCTACCAGATAGATATGATTCAAACCATTATAGTGTAGTTCCTTTAACTACAATGCATTCTAGTCTCTGTATTAAAATGATATGATCAGCTGTATTGAATGCTACACTGAGGTTTAACAACACGAGCATAGAGATAAGTTCACTGTCAAAGGCAATCAGATCATTTATAACCTTCACTAGTGCTGTTTCTATGCTACAATGCACTTTAAATCTTGACTGAAACTCTTCAAATATACCATTCCTCTGCAAATAATCTGTTTACTGTTTCCACTCTTTTAAGGATTTTAGAAATAAGAGGAATATTCTAGAATTTTCAATAGTTAACTGAGACGGTTTAATTACAGCCACCTTGAAAGCCTGTGGTGCGTATCCTGTTAATAGAAATACATTTTTTACACCAGTATTAGCTGTCAGGATTCTGTCATTCAGTTGTGCTCATGGATCCTGGTGTAAGAAATGGCATCAAACCATATGTCTTCCCTCATACTTCTCACCATCCCGCTGAGAAAGTGATGAAAACAAACCATGCAAATATAATTAGGTATCCATCTTGTGACTGTTAGTCGGTATCTGTTTGCATCTTATATCTTGTAAATGAGGAGAAGTGGCAAAAAATGAGAGCGTGTATCTTAGTTAGTGCTCGTACTTTCCCTTTGTTTTTGTGTTGCTGTGTGTGGAAGGCAGAGTCATCGCGTTAGGTGACTTTGATAGGCTTGACACTTGGCTGCTGAGGGAAAAGGCTTGTTAGGGGTATTAAGAAGGGGAAACTGGATCTGTGTTCAGCTGACTAGTGCAGCAGGCTAAGTTGGCATGTGTCAGAAACAGGATGCATAGCTGGCGTGGTGGCGGTGGTCAGCTTTCTGTGGCGGTACTGGGAACCTGGAATCACGGGCAAGGAAACAGAGGTGGAAACTCTGAGAGAGACCACAGGAGGAAATGGAAACAGGGGGTTTGAGGGTGACGACGGGTTTTAGAGGGGGTGTTGTGTTACATACCTTGTGTAGTGTCCTCGTGTGCTCTGCTGTTGATACACAGCTGTATCCTAACTCTTCTCTGTCAGGCTTATAAGATAGAAGTGAAAGATCAAAGGATCGTACTGGAAGAAGGAAAAAGATGAGAAGATGTAGAAGTAGAAGTAAAATGTCAAGTGCAGTATTTTGGATTTTTGGAATTGGGGCAATTTCAAGTCTGCAAACCTGCGCTGTGCTGTTCTTAAAAACGGCAAAGCTGATAAATGCACCTGAGAGTTGTTGGAAAAATGATCAAAACTCCGTAAACAAGCGATGTTTACAGCATTACCTCTGCCTCTCTAAAACAAGGCAAGACGCTTGTATTCCACACTACAGAACAATACTTTATAGGTCTGGTTCTTCCTCCTGAGTGGACTGAAAAAAAAAGCACAACATAAGATAATAATAATAAAAAAAAGCTATTGATGTTTCTGGCATTGTGCTGTAATGGCTATATTTATGGAATCATTTATCTGCCAGGCATTTCAGATTGCCCAAATGCCATTTTTAAACCACATATTTACTACATTTCTAATTTGATTTGCTTCAAGTTGTCCTGTAAACAGCCATTCTCTCGCTGCCTGGGTGAGCTTGATTATTCAATTCCCTTTTTACAGTAAAGACTTCACACAGTCTAAATAAGGGGTTTCCTAAGAAGGGAAAGTCTCATTCAAGAAAAGTGTAATGCATATGCATGACTGAGGGGAAATGTAAGCATACCCACTCAGAGGTACTGAAGTGGAGGACACTAAGGCCACGCTGACAGGCTTGTTAATATATAAGCCTGCTCTTTATTTTCCTCATGTAGAGTCCTGGACCGTTTTTGTGGTGTGATGCTTCAATGCGGTATGGTTATCTAATGGTCTAGTTATCTACTCTGCATCATGCCACCTCCAGGAGTTCTTATATGACGCCTGTGTTATTTTGAATGTGTGAGGAGGAGGAGGCGTATAGAGGCTTTGCATTTGTGGCACCACTTTCTATTCAAGCATGAATGGCGCCATTGTCCTCTATAGAAAGTGGCTCAGTGAAAACTCTGAGAAATCCTCGATCAGGTCTGTTCTACGGGTGAGAAGCAAATAAAATTATTCAAATGATTGGCATAATGAGTCCAATTAACCTTAACCAACGCGCATTGGTAAATATTTGCGAAGCTTAAGAAAAAACAAACGGTGGGAACCAATCAGAAGATTAGTCAATCCATAACGCGGACAATCGAAACAACAGCTCAGTGCTCATCATACTAAAATATCAGAAAGGAAAAATTTGAAAAAAATATAGTTTAATAGAATGATGAATAAAAGAAAGCTCTGGCAGATTATAGTATACTGAAATACTTGTTGCTACACTGCGTTAAACTATTAATATCATGCACTGTTGTCTCACCACAGTCTCACAGAAGTTTATGAAATAATCAAAATATTTATCGATTGATTTTGTGGTTATGGGCATAAATTTTCCTTTCTTTAAACAATTGTTGCTTCAGTCTGAGGGCAGGTTCCAAATGTGTCTCTTTTTTATTTACGATCATAGTGTACTCCTTCCAGCTCCAGCAACTTAAGTCTGCATTTAAGAGGCAGGACATGGGGGCGGTATAAGTCACT